TATTCGATACGATCCACTATTGCTGATATTTACAGGTAGATTTACATACATCCTCGTACCTAGCACTCGTCGTACAATTTTATTTGCTGCCTAGTGTCTTTTGTTTACATGTCCACGTCCTTTTGCACACATAGCATGTCTCAACCCTAGCAGCTGAATTAGTTTAACTTCAAACTTAAGATCCAATCCTTTAGGATCTTATTCATTGTTGGTTGTCAAAACCATTCCCCGATAGTTCGCACACTCGTCCTTTATAAGAGCCTCGCCCTAACATCGAAAAAGAATTTCCGGAGGATGAGGCCCAGAAATCAGGATTTAAAAAAGATTCCCAGGTGATTCTAATGTGCAGCCAAGGTTGAGAACCACTGACATAAACACATAAGCTAAGTGAAGTAAGCCAGACACAGAAAGACAAATACTATATGATGTCACTTACACGTGGAATCTAAGAAAGTCAAACTCAGAACCAGAGAGTAGAAAGGTGGTTGCAAGGGGCTAGGGTGGAGAGATGAGGGAATGTTGGTCAAAGGGTACAAACTTCCAGTTATAAGAATATGTTTTGGAGATCTAATGTACAGTCAATACTGTACTGTATACTTGAAATACAATAAGAGAGTACATCTTAAGTGTCCTCAACACACACCAAAAAACTAAGTAATGAGGATGTGTTAACTAAGTTGATTGTGGTAAGCATTTCCCAGTGTATATGTATATTAAATCATCACATCTGATACCTTTAAAAAATCATGTACAACCTAAATATATACAATTTTTATTTTCAATCATACCTTAATAAAGCTGGGGGAAATAAAGACTATAAGAAAAAGAAAATGTGTGTTCATTATTAGGCGTCTATCCATAAACAGCTGAGAGGCTGGAATTTCATAGTGCACATAGAATTGCATCTTCAGTTCTGCAGAAACTTTGAGTCTTAGGTGAGAGAAATTACTAGAAAAAAAGGGAAAGACTGAGAGAGAGGTCTAGCATTTTCCTAGACTGCACTTCACATGGCACTATGATGCAGCTTGATGGCCATGGGCTTAGGATTCAGACCAAATCGAGTAACTGTATCTTGATCCTGCCACTTGCCCGCATTCAACACATTTGAGGGCCTGTCATGTTCCAGGAAATGACGAGCTGAGTGACCTGACAACCTTTTTGCACTGCATTTTTCTCATCTGGAAAAAGCAAAAGTAATATGTACCTCAATAAATAAGATGTAAATAATAAATTTACAACATCAGCTCTGTGTCTGAGCCTATAGGGCTCTCAGGACCCTGAGTTTCCATCCCTGACTGGTCTCATCTAATTCCTGATAAGATAAGGCAGCCCTGACCCACACTTGGTCTGAGGCACTGGATTGGCACCCAGCTTGTTTTGTCTTTGCAGAACTATGCCAGGCAATTGGCGCTCCCACCAGCTGGGCCAGAGAGCACAATGGAAGCAGAGGCAGCTTCTCCCAGGCCTGCCTTGGCATCACCTGGGCTGATTAGTTGAGCTAAGCAGAAGCCACTTAAGTATCTAATGTTCCTTCTTACCCATGCTGTTTGCCTCAGAGCAGTCTTCCCACCAGCCTTACCTGCCATTAGTTAAGGTCTGTTCAGATGTCCTGTATGCAGTGGGGATGGGCAAGGTTGGTTTCTCTTTGCCACTGAAGAAACTTGTGCTCTATTTCTTCGATTGAAGACACTGAATCTCACAGGAACCACCTGGGCTCACCTTTCCCTTCTGCTTGGAAAGGATTCCCTTGAGAATGATTTTTCCAGGTACCCTGCCTTTCTCCCATCTGTGGCTCACGAGCTCATCCCTAGTCCTACATCCCAAGCAGCCAAAGCTGGTACTGACCTGGTTAAGCAGAAAAGGAATTAATTTATTAAAAGGATACTGGCAGGGCTAGAGAACCAGGTGCCTGACTAGAGGTGAAGCTTCCAGGAATGCTACCCAAAACCATGCTGCTGCCATCACAGAGCACTAGAGCTGCCTTTTCTGTACAGCCAGGAGCCCACCTACTGGTGGCTGCTACCGCAGTCAATGCAAGTGCTGCTTGCTGCATTGGGAACACAACCTTGCAGCCACAGCTAGCCCCCAAAGCAAGTCAGGTGCCTTTAGTACCGCCTTCCCCTGAGAAAACTGTTGCCTGGGCATGGTTTTTCCTCATGTTTGTCACCTGCAACTTTAAACTTTGAGTTCAGAGTCCTGTCCTGGAGCTCCTGATCTCCAGACAAGTTTTCTAGCTTCCATCTGGAAAAAGCAGGACTCCTAGAGTGAAAAATTTTCCAGGCATTAGAACATGTCAAAAATAGCCAAAGACATGTGAAACGTCTACTTTGTGCGCTACCCATAGGCTCTCATCATGTTCCTAGTCTTGTCTCCGATCATTGAGCCCAGACCCTGGGCCCTGTGTTAAGGCTTGGCCTGTAATTTTCTACAGGGACACAGTGAGTTCAGGTGGGGCCCTTCGGACAGTGAGCAGCAAGGGGATGCTGCCTAGGCTTGGGAAGCCCAGGGTTGGTTAGAGGGAGGTGTCAGGGTGAAGAGCCCTTTGGGAGGCCCCTTCCTAACTAGATTCATAAAATGTAACACCTGGGAAGGCCTGGGAACGCATCTAGTGAGGATACACAGTCAGATGCCTACAAGGAGCCAGACAGGCAATAAATGCGAGAAGCAGGCTGAGCAACCGATGGTGGCTCTGCAGAAGATGCCATTTTAGACATTAACATTTTTAATTGAAAAAAAAGGTGTGCAAATGTTAAGAATCAGAAAGTGCTTGCCTGGGAGGGAATGGGGGATAATGGAGTTGACTAGACGGGGACAGCATGAGGGAACTTTCTAGAGTGATAGAAATGTTTTGCATCTTGCTTTGGGTGGTTGTTCCTCAGTGCATACATTCATCAGATAAACTTCATCAAATAAATACTTCAGATCTGTGCATTTTATCATATAGTAATTATACCTCATTTTTAAAGTTGGGCAAGTTTAAATCTATCTAGATTCTAGAAGGTGACTTGGCTCTCGGACTACTTTTCTTCTCTTCGGACTTCTTTAAAATACGAGGAATCACAGAGCCAAGCCGAGGGGAAAGTGGCTTTCTCAAGGGCGCAGGTGACTGACTCCTGGCGGCCCTGGGATGGCCTGCAGCCGGTCAGCCTGAGCAGGATGACTACAGCGAGGTCTAGCCTGCAGCCTAGCCTGTTCCTGCGCAAGCTCACTCCGTTGCCTTGGAGCGGTGCCCGCAGGCCGCGGTGCGAGCACAGCCTTCCGGCGGGCGGTCCCCAGGGATCGGACTGAGGTCTCTGCCCCAGCCTGAAAGTGAGACGGTCACCTGAAGCCGCGGAGAGGAGCGGAAGTGGGTGCCGCGCCGGGCCCCAGGGAGCACCGGTCTGGTGCGCAGTTAAATCACGGACACCCACTGCGCTGGCACTTCGGGCTTGGCCCTAGTGCCAGACGCCGACGCCTAGCTCCGGGGAAAGAAATCTGACCCTGGCGAGGCCGCGGCGGTGCAAAGTGAAACCCACCTGAAGGGGCGGGGAGGGCAGGGAGCGGCCGCCGGCCGGGACGGAGCCTGCTCGTGAGCGGGCGCGTGGACAATTGCCTTAGTCTCACTTGGCCACCGCTCTGCCCGAGGAGGTGCAGGCACCTGCGCTTTCCAGTGAGAAAACCCAGGCTCACCGCCGCTTCACGGAGCTACGTAAGGGCTGAGTTGGGACTGAGCCCGGCTGTCTGACCCCAATCCTTGCTGCTTACTCTCCCTCACCCAGCGGCGAGGAGGGGACCTGTGACTCCACGCCCATCACAAAGCAGACGTGCCCCCAGTTCCGAGGGAGGCGGTGCACGCCAGAAGGACCCCGGGGGAGAGATCCGCGCGCGAGGTGGGGGTGGGGAAGCGCAGTGACCGCTTCCCGGCCGAGCGACCCGCCGGGATCTTCCGGACGCACGGAGCCCGGCCTTCTCGCCGGCGCCCGCACTGATTGGCGCTCGCGGCCGGCCTCCGCTCGCTCACCTGCCCCCGCCCAGCCAATCGGGGCCACCGGAATCGGGGCTGTCCTCGGGAGGTGTGTGTGCGGAGAGGAGGCTGATGCTGCCTGCGGGAGGCTGAGCGCTCTTCCCGCCGAGCTCCCGTCGGGCCCGCCCCAACCGGAGCCCAAGTCGCAGGCTGCGCGCCCCGCGCCCCGGGCCCCCTCGGCGCTGCGCTCCCGGCCCGCGCGCTTTCATGCGGCAGCTCCGACCCGGCGGCTCCCCGTGTCCGCTGCCTGGGACGCGCCCCGACGGCGCCCGGAGCGGCCTGCCGACGCCGCCTCCCCCAGCCGCCCGCCGCGAGCGCGCCCGCCCTGGTCTGGAGCCCAGCGTCCCTGCCGGCTCGGGGAGTGGGTGGGCCGGGCCGGGCCGGGGGCAGCCCCGCTGAGGCAGGATGTTCACTTCCAAGTCCAACTCGGTGTCGCCCTCGCCGTCCCTGGAGCAGGCTGACTCGGACGCGCTGGACATCAGCACCAAAGTGCAGCTGTACGGCGTGCTGTGGAAGCGGCCCTTCGGGCGGCCGTCCGCCAAGTGGTCCCGGCGGTGAGTGCGCCTCCCGCGCCGCGCGAGGACCGCCGGGGAGGGATCCCAGGGCTCAGGGCCTCGGACTCCCTACCACCCCCTTCATCACCGTGCTGCCTCGCCTCCCTTTGTGACCTTGGCCTCGCCCCATTTCCCTCTAAGCCGGCTGCCCTGGGAGTTGTGGGTCCCAGGCTGGATCCGTCCCTTTCCCCGGGGCTGGTGGAGCTGGGGGGACCGCTGGCCCGGGGCGGTGGGGGTTCTCCGTGGAAGGGATTCAGTCTGCGGGGGAGGCTGGTGTGGGCGGAAAGAGTTCGCAGCCGGGGTAGGAGCCGAGCAGACTCTGCTGCGGAAGGAGAAGCTCCGGCTCCAGCCAGGGGTAGCCTCCTGGGGCCCCTCGGCCAATTCCGCCGTCTTCACAGCACCCCTCCCCCGGCCGCAGAGCGGGCTCGGAGGTGCCTCGGGGTGCCCTACCTCCCACCTCTGCCTGCCCCCTACCCGGGCACACTGAGGGCGCTTCTGACACTCAGGGAGGGCCGAAGGGCCAGGAAGGATCTGTGCCCAGCCTGGACGAGCTGATGTTGGCAACCCCTCCAACTAGACATTGAAATAATTTTTTTAAAATAAAACCTGGGCCGTGGGAAAAGAGATCCCAGCCCTGGCAAGTGTTTCTCGGTGGTTAGAGCGTCGGGGGTTTGATTCCAGTCAAGGGCAGGTACCTGGGTTGCAGGTTCATCCCCCGGCCTGGTTAGGGCCCCTGTGGGAGGCAACCAATCCATGCGTCTCTCTCACTTCATGTTTCTCTCTCTCTTCTGTAGCCTCCCCTCCCCCCTTCCACTCTCTCTAAAAAACACTGGGGAGTGGGGGGATATCCTCGGATGAGGATTAACGAGAGAGAGAGAGAGAGAGAGAGAGAGAGAGAGAGAGAGAGAGAGAGATTCCAGCCCCTCAGGCAGAGGAGCTGGAACTGAAGGAGGGACTAAGCCGAGGCAGGGGCGGAGGGAGCGGTGGATGGTCCCATCAGAAGGACTGATCCCTTGGAAGGTGTGGTGGGGGTCAGAGCAGCCTTAGTCTTTGGGCACTAGCTTCCTGGTCCCCAACTCAGAGGCCATGCCCCAGACGCAGCCACTTTCCACTTAGGAATGGGCCTGAAAGGTATGTCGGTTGGGAGCAATGGACCATCTTCTGGACAGTTTCCCCCTTCAAGGCAATCTCAGACCTGAGATTGATACTGCAGTGGCCTATAGAACTCGACCCTGACCCAGCTCCCTGCCAAATGCTCTTTCCCATCCCACAGCATGAGTCAGCCCCTGCGCGGGGGCCGCTAATGTCCCCAGGACCGCAGATCACGGGGATGTGGTCGTGGTGGTTCTGATGTCCTATTTTGATGAATAATTTAATATTTCTACAAGACCACAGAACAAATGGAGCTGTGGGTGGTGTTTCACAGTTTACGTGGCTGGTTTCACGCACACACTTTTATTAGCCCTGCCAGGCTTCTTGCTGGGATTTAGTGGGATATAGGCTCCTTGAGTTCCTGCAAAGTTAAGCTTCTCTTTGATCCCCTAATTGGAGGCCTGGGGCAGCCCGGGGAGCATCTTGGGAGGGGCTTCCAGCATTGTGCTGTCTGAGCTGTCTGCCCCATGGGGTCGGGTCAGGAGCAGCCTTGTCTCTACCAGGGCACTCCAGTGGGGGCAGAAAGATGCTTGTAGGTTCAGATACCATCAGCAGCACGCCCCCTACCCTCTCTCCTCTGCCTCTGTTGCTCCAGGCGGCCAACGCTCCTCCATTGGGTCTGGCTGTTGTCCTTGGTATTGCTTCTTGGTCTTGTCATCCAAGACTTCTCCTGCCAGGCATTTTCACCTGATTTCATCCTTAGTGAATGTTAGGAGCCTGAGACCCTCCAGGGTATGTCCCTGACCCCTCTTCACCCACGATGTGGGGACCTGGCTCCGGCACCCAGAGTTGATTCCAGGGCTGGGCGGTGTCAGGGACAAGGCTCCTGGCTAAAAGCACAGTAGTGAAGCCAGGGAGGGCTTGGAGAGCTGTTGCACCCGCCACCCCAAGAATTTCCCTCAGTATCCCAACAGCCACTCAAAAACCATCTGGTCTAAGAATTCTAGAGCTGCCACTGTGCAGACTCCCCTTCCTCTGGGGCTCAGGAAAGAACTAACATCCCTTCTGCCCACTCTGGCCTCTGTCCATGTTCCTACTTGTGGAAATGCACACACACATGGTTTAGTAGCCTTGGGTCAGCAACAGAGCCAACCAGAGAGAGTCTGGGGGTGGGAGAAGCATGGTGCTACGCTTAGACCCCTCACTTCCCAGCAGAGCCCCCTGGGCCCCAGTTCCCCATTTGTGAAATGGAGTCTCTAGACCTCCGCTAATTAGCGGCCACAGGAAGGCTTGGGGAGGGGGCAGCTCAGGCCCTAACCGCAGAGCTGGGCCATTAGGGCGATCGATGCCCTCGCTGGGCAGCTGAGGGGAGGGGGCCTGGAAAGGCTCCTGGGCTGCATAAATAAGGGATGGGCAGGATGGAGCCAGCTGTGACCAGCTGGGTTTCATAAAACCTCTTCCGCTGCTCAGGTCTGTCTCAGGGCCTCCAGTCCCTGCCACTGAAGCAGCCTTTCTGGGCTGGGAAAATGCCCTTGAGCTAAAGGGCCAGCTTTTTTCCCCATGAGCAACAAGAGGAGAAAGGAATCAAAAACATTACTTCTCAGAGATAGA